TTTCCCACGTCCGAATCGTTCGACGAGTCGCGAAGAAGACCGCGACGGGTGAGTGGTGTGCCGGCCAATCCGAAAATAGTCCCGCGGCACCCGTCCGTTAAAATTGCGATCGATTGCGTCGACAAGCGCGTCCCTATGCAAAAAGGGTTATATAATACAACGAAAATGACGCATATTAATGATTAGGGCGTCAATTATTACGATACACGAATAAATTGCGGAGGGCCCACTAGCTCTCCCTATGAAAGAGCAGGCAGGTATAACGGGTCGCAGCGCGGTATCGATTGGTAATTTGCACGAGTGCTTAAGGAAACCTGACAGCGTTTTTGAGGGAAATTATTTCGGAAAATTTTTGGCGAATGTCAAGCATTGTCCCGTAATGGTGATAAAATTCGGACATTGATGAGACAAAAGTGCCGTTTGAAACATACGGCGTTACTCCTCTTTTATCCTCGGATCAAACGATGACAGCTGTTGTGAATCCCGATAAGCATCACAAAAATATGAAATAAAAAAATATACATTAAAAAAAAAAATACGTCAGATTTTATTTTAAACGGCATACAATTTAGCGGCGACAACTCTTTACCATCTAAAAAGTCGCCGTTCAAAGGACATAGAGCCGTTTAATGTGTTAGAGTCGATGTGAAACTTCCGGAGGTTTGCACGTGACTCGCATCCGGAATGATATAAGTGTGACTCCAAAATATTAACAGCTCAACGACTGAAAACAATACGTGTCTACGAGCACTCATACTTTCAATTACTTTCACATAGAAGCGCTTTCCTTTTCATAGCGAAAACAATGTCGAATTTGTTTTACGGACGTACCCATTGTATTTCGCTATCATTTGTATTAAAATAACTCAACGGAGATGGATTGAAATTCAGGGACGGTTTGAAAACGGGGATGGATTGCGGGACGACCCAAAATTTAAGTAAAATCCTCCACGTAACCTCGCATGCTCTCGCGACTGTCGAATCAATTTTTCCTTTCGCAATTTTTCATAATAAGTTACAAACGACATAAGAGAATAAATAAGAAAATAAATTATGTTCCGACCTTGTCTGCGTAGAAGTATAAATATAATTAAAGTGCAAGGGAGAAGAGAGAGAGAGAGAGAGAGAGAGAGAGAGAGAGAGAGAGAGAGAGAGAGACGCTGCGTGCAGCAAACTTTTATAACGACGATCCTTAATAACTTCTTAATAATTGTATCAAAAGAAGACCGATCTCTTTCAAGCACGAGTTCCGCGATGTTCACTTAATTTCATGAAAGATCTCATTTTCAACGTTACAAGGACTCGCCCTTATTTACCAAGGTGACGTCGACGAGTCGAGCCCCTCCTGCCGAAGAAAAGCCACCTTTTTCAAGAAACACGGCGCTATTCGACACGTTGTTGTGTGAAGCACATCTCCCCGCGTGGAAGAGGCGGACGAGCACGCGTTAATGAGGACACCCGAGTGGTACGAATTGGTGTGGCGCGTGTAATTATAATTCACGGCCCGTGTTCGCCTTCGCAGTCGCAATCAGAATAGTTTCGAGTCCGTGACGAAAGCCGAAATTCAAAACCGTGTTTCAGCGCGAGTGACCCGAAAACCAAATTATTTGTAAACGCCTGTACAAATAAATAACGCGCCGGCGGCGGCGTTACGAGGTGAAACTCGAATCATTCGCCGACCAAATATTTTACCGCTGGAAAATCAAATATAATTTTCTGTTCACTTTTCAGGCTGCTGCGGGCGAAATGAAACATATATATATAATAAATAAGGAACAGCGCGAACAAGCGCGGACTCATAACGAAGCATTTCCCCAAGACGGATGTGAAATAAAACATGGAGCTTTAAACGAGTCGAGTGAATTTATCGGATTTCCTCGCGGTCGCGAGGTGGCATCGAGTAACCGGAGAATTATATCGTGCCGTGATGAGACTGGCGCCACGAGTTTTCTACAATCGCGGCAGGTGCCATCTTCGTCATGCCCTAGTTACGACTCCGGCAAGTCGGGCCCCTCTCCACATACGGTGTGTCTACACACCGTATGTGCACGCCGAATAACGAATGAATCATGCCGCGGTGTGTACGCGAAGCGTACCGCGACGGCAGTTCACTTTCTCCCCTCGGTTTCGTCCTCAATTACACGGGGGCCTGCTGCGGGGCCCCCGTGTAATTACACGGGTGAGATGGCTCGACGAACCGGTCGAGTGAATCGCCAGTAACAATTTTCTTTTTCGGACCCGCGGACCCCTTTCACTCGGCCCGCTGTCTCGAGACCCGGTTTCCTCGCAGCCCGAGAAACGGTAGCGTCGCTGCGTTGCACGCTATTGTCAAACATAGCCCTACGTAACGAAACGTGCGCGGTCGATCGTGCGCGGGAAGGATGAGGGAAATCAAGAAATTAAGCCACGCGCGCGAGAAGCGTGCGATAACTGATAAATCGTGAAATAACTGAAAAACCGAATAATAATTAAAGACTGAAGTCAATGTCGATTGGATAAATTTATTATTAGTCCAATCGTACGTAATTTTCGCAGGATACCTATGCGTAAGGGACATTTAATAATATACAATCTTCTCCCACGATTTGAGATTAATCAAATTCGTTTGTTGTCACATAATTCACGATATATGAAAGAAAATTCGTAAGACGAGCTTAAGTTTGAAGCTGTCGTTTTCCGACAAAAGATACAAATCGCGGGATACTTGTGAATGAAGAACGATACGATGAAGGTGCACGAAGAGACACGTATACACACACACGCACGTACACTTGAATGCAACCGGTCCCTGACGTTTCGCAAGCCAACGGACGTAAATCGCGAGACACAACAAGAGTGGAGGAGACACCTGTAGGCGACACGCGAGTGACACGAGCACAATGGGCACACTTAGGCCAATTATGGCGCAATCACGTTACTTCTGGGAAATCGCGACGATGCGACGAGACCTCCCGATACAATGCGCATAAATTTGTTTCCGGGACCTCGACTCCCACAGAGCAAGCTGCCAAATGTGTCTGTACAAATCACTCGCACCGCTCGTTCGTCGGGGACGATCTCGCGAAAGTTTCTCCGCAAAAATTTGCGAACTGTGCAGCGTGTGCATCGCAACAAGCATACCCTCTCTTACCCCCTTCAGCCCGCACGCAACCCTACCCTAACGAGGGACATTGCCGTTAACCGTTAACGAAAGGGGAGAGAGACTTTTCACGAGAAATTTGTCCCTGCTTATTCATCCGGAATCGTCCAGTACGCGTACGTTCCATATTTAGCCCTTTCCAAGCTTCCCCCTGAGAAAAATGAACTCTCTGACTCACGTTCGCTCCTCTCCTCACAGATACGCGTCGTTTTCTCTCGTCTCGTAGGCACTTGGAACGGGAATATCTCGACGAAGACGTGTACAAGACGCGTTCGACGGCGGTACTCGGCTACAAAATACAGATATGCTTTCCGCGCGATTGCAGATAAGAGAACGACTCCGTGTGAAACGAGGAGGAGGAGGAGGAGGAGGAGGAGGAGGAGTACGGAGAAGAGGAAGAGGAAACGCGGCAAAGAGACGAGGGAGCGAGGAAAAGGATGACGAGCAGGAACATCCTGATGCAGAGGGGAAACGGCGGCGGAGGGAGGCGTAGCGGGAAATGACTGGCAACGGGTGGTGCGGCGTTGCGGTATATCGAATAGTAAAAGTCGGAGAACAATGGATAAACGGAATGGTACAGAGTCGAGACCTTTCAGGCGATCGGGTAACCGGCAAAAATCGTGCAACACAATAGGTAGGAACGCCCTCCGTGCGGGGGTCCTCTCTCTCCCTCCCGCCCCCCTCCCCCGCCTCACGCTCACTCACTCTCTCCCTCTAACCCGCCCTGCCGACCGACCGCTCGTAACCGCGGCGAGTCGTTCTCCCGGGCGTTCGTTTTCCACGGAACGTAAACCCGGGACCGACCGACCATCCACCCACTCACCCCTGGACACACCCATCCGACCGTGCCGAGCAGAGGGAGATTAACACTCGCGGAAGCGCGATTAACCTGACACGTAATTATATTTTAATTTGGATAGAACTACCTTGGCTCTCTACGTCTGCGGGGAGTCTTGTACGTGCGAAGCGATCAACGCATCGTTCTATCATTTTCCGAGGAAAGTCAGTCAGTCAGTCAGTCAGTCAGTCGGTCGGTCGGTCGGTCGGTCGGTCGGTCGGTCACAGCAAAATATTATATTACTGTTCCGATCAAATAACTTCACGAGAAAAAGAATATTGGATATGATATGATTTTTTGATAAAATTTTCGATGGCCAGTTTAAAGGTCGCTTATTATAGACTTTTCAATCATTACACGTGTTCACTTTGCTGAGAAAAGCTCTCTTAAAAGATTTTCTTACCTTGTTTTTATATTTTTCGGAGAAATAATCTGACTTAATTAATGAAACGATAAACGAGACAATTAACATTGATTTTTTGACATTTGACGTTTATTATGTATTCAGGTGTCCGAACGGGGCATACAGCGCCATCTATTCACGACAGACCTAGATTGTAAGAAAACGTGTCGAATGTTTGCGGATAAAATAGCCCGTCTTTTTACCGACGACTATACGTGACTTGACGGAAATAAAAAAAAAGCTCACAAATATAAATAGAAAGAGCCATACAATATTGATTTCTTGTGCACTATGCACTTTTACTTTGGCCGTCTATTGAAGCAATTATAATTTAATCATTTTAGCTATCTTCTAACCAAAGTTTGCGAATTTTCATCAAGTTGTGAATAAAGGAAAGGGGGGACATTTTCTTTAAATTTTAATTATAATTCAATCATTTAAACATTTTTTGCTTTCCTGCTATAGATTCTTATAAACAGATAATCGTTAGCGTCTATAAATGTACAATTTATACATTTGCACAGAGAACTAGAAAGCATGCAAATAAATTGGAGAGAAGAGTGAAATAATAATTAAATATTCCCAATCAATCTCTCAATAAATAAAATTCTTTCACTTACCTTGTAAGTTGTCCAACATATATGTCAGCAGCTTGTTCGTCCCTGCAGGTTCCCCGTACAATGCCATCACCTCTTTGCTGAGTGGATTTCCTTGTAGTCCAAGCACTTGTAACTGGAACAACTTTCCTAGTTCATACGGTAACACGCGAAGATAATTTTGGTTCAATAACAACTCCCTGAAACATACAGAAAGAGTTTCATATAAGGAGATAAAATTAGACAGATAAGCAACATACACGAATCATTTTGTCTTCTGTTTCATTCAAGTTACTACATACCTGAGGTAGATGAGGTCCCCCAGTTCAGCAGGCAGACTGCGCAGCTTGTTGCTGCTGAGATCTAAAGCACGCAAGTTGACAAGACGACCGATCTCAGGTGGTATCCTTTGTAGGCTGTTATCATTCAGATAAAGTGCTGTCAAATGAGTCAAATGCCATAGATTAGGGCTTAGGTTTCTTATACTGCCTGTTATCTCCAACTCCGGCCAATAAGATTTTTTCCCCGAGTTCGCATCTTCCGTGGACATAAACGAATGCGTACGACGCGGGTTGGAGTTTTCATATTTGTCCTTGTGATTGCGGGACATCTTAGATCCTGAAAATAAAAGGAGTATCTTTCTGTTAAAGCGTCAGATATCTGTGTTGGTTTCTAACGTCCGAGCTTCACGGGACGATTATCTATTGTTACATCAGCAAAAGCATCAGCCGGCACGGCGGATACTCTGACACTCGCGACAATAACAAGTCAGCTGTCAAAGTAGCAGTCAACTTTGTGCCGCGATAATCGACAGTCAACAAAGCGATCGTAAAACAGCGAACAGCTACTGCGGCAGGTGCCGATTGTGACATGTTGAGAGCGCCAGAGTGACTTGGAGAGTCGCGGCTGCGTAAAGATATCGCGACTCGAGCTATGCATCTGCACACATAGCCGTGACACACTAGGTGCGAGCCCATAACCTATGAGGGACAAACGGATTTTTCGACGCTCGTAGAGCCGTGCCTGACGGTAGCTCGCCGCATTTGACACGAGACGCGACGTCCGACCGGGCATGATAGGTCAAGTTGACAGTGGCAGTGAATTTCATCGCGCGGCGGAATAATCTTTTGAGCGCCAATCACTCATCCTGACCGAAAAGATTCGTAACGCTGTCGCGACGACAGGTCGACGCGTTCGCCTAATTTCCCGGCGACGGACGCGGCCACCGGCCGTCGTGTTTATCGGCACGCGCGCGGCGCGGCATTACGCACCTTCATCTACCTCTTCAGCACAGACGGGACGCGCGAGGAGTTGATACCGAGTGAAAATTTCCGCGTAAACAAAACTACCTTGACAATCACGAATCCTCCATTTATCAACTGCAACGACCGTGCGCCCACGGAGCTGCCCGATTGGTCCGCGCTGCCGCCGAACCTTCCCGAAGCAGCCGACGTCGCTGAACGATCGCGAACGACAAACGCGATTCACACGACCCTTTCTTATTGGCGACCGGCGCATGTTTTAGCATATTAGCAGATAATAAACAATTTGTATTCGTCCATGTACTATTTTGCTTATGTTTGCGACAGAATCCATTAATGATTTAGAAAGAAAATCTTAAATATTTTCTTCATTATTAATAAAATTCTAGTCCCTAGGTGTTTATTATTTGTTTTATGAAGCTTGTAACATCTGAATGTCACTCATTTTAATTGATGTTTCTACATTTTCTCACATTCTTTCTTCTTAGTAAAGCCCGTATCAGACTGTAGATTGGGATTGAGATTGGATTGAAATTTGACCAATTGAAAAAAAGAAAATAATCTCAAATATAGTAAACTTAACCCTGATTGGTTAAATTTCAATTCAATACTTAATCTCAATCTGTAGTCTGATACGAGCTTCACGGTTCATTTCATTTTATTTCATCATAAATGCAGAAAGTATACTTAAGCGCAGCTATAAACTACAGATTTCGGCTGCGTTCCGATATTCACTGACAGTACTGAAAATTTATAATATACGTGATATAAAATATATATTTTCCGTACTGGCAGTAAATATCGGAACACAGCTTTCATCAACTAAAGGCCTGTTCTTTTTTTCTAAATGAAGATCATTAGGCCTGTTCGTTTTGTCTGCATTGCTGAACTGGTGCAACAAGTTGAAGTGAGAAAACCTACACTTGTCTCACTTTAACTTAATGCACCAGTTCAGTAGTGCAGACAAAACGAACAGGCCCAGATAGAGCAGAGAGTGCAGCGAAAAAGAAAAAGGGCAAGAGCACACGCTTTTGCATAACGCATAATGCATAATGCATAAGAGAATAAACCAATTAGTTTTCTTCATTTCCCTCCTCATAGAAATGAAGAAGTCGATTATTTCAAAAATAATCGACTGTGGTTGGTCAATTTGGTTACAACCAGGGCGTGCAAACTCTTAAGGCTCGTCTACAATAGCTGTAAGAGTAAGGTTGTAAGGCTGCAACGTAAGCTGTCGGCGAATGAAAATATTTCATTTCGTGTCTTGCAACCTTACAGCCTTACTCTTACAGCTAATGTAGACGAGTCTTTACTCTTACAGCTAATATAGACGAGCCTTAAGAGTCTGGCCAATGTTCTAGTTGGATACAAAATGGCTACTACACCTGTATTGCACCTACTGTAATCTCGGTTTTTATACGTGCACATGCAAGTGATAACATAACATCATTTCATCTTGGAAAAAACTTCCAACACAATAAGAGGACTATATATAAAAATATTTATAAAAATATTTTTAAAATAACTAGTTGTTGCATACCGGGATGCAGAAATAGAAGCGAAAATGGCTTCTATATGAAACGTTTTCCAATAAGTAAAAAACAAAAAATTATATGGTTGAAACAAATTGGAAGAGAAAACTGGAAACCGAAACAATATTCAGCAATTTGTGAGCTAAGCATGTAATTATATCAAATAATAAACAAAACATGTTTCTCATCTAATTGTATTTGTAGGTTCATTTTACTAAAAAAATGTGGGAAAAACCGCGACAGGATGGTTCCAAAAAATTAATAGCACAAACAGTGACAACAAGTTTTCCTCATACAAAAGTAATGTCGGAATCTTTCGATGGAAAAATAAAAAAGTTAAAATATAATGAAAACAACGATGAAAATAATTAAGTTATTATTAATAAATATTATTATTAAAATGTTATCGCGTAAAAACATTATTTTTTGTTAACGATACGACGTTTAATTATTTCTTAGAAATGAATTATGTAATTGTACATTATTTGCCTTATATTAAGCAAAGCAATTATAATATTGTTAATTTCCTTATTGAAAAAATGAAAGATATTGAATGTACTGCATTGAAAACATGTCACAATTTATCCCACAAAATTAAAATTCGTTTCATTCATTTTAAAATAAGAAAAAGTTGTCACACTGGAAAATTAGAAAAACCTGTTTTTAATAGTAAAACCATGGCTATGCATTCCGTTATTAGATAAAATTTAATAATCATGTTATTACATATGTAATGTTTTTTTAACTTTATGTAATATCAAAATTTAATAATAAAATTGCAAAAATGTATTTTAATTTTCCTTTTCCTATTACTGCTATTCAAATACCCCGCATACTTTGCTATCACTAATTGGTGGCGCCATTTCGTATCCAGCCAATCAAAAATTGGACCATATTGGCCAGACTCTTACTATAGGGCCTCTAGTGCGGAAAGTCGGTGTCGCCGAAAACGCCGTTTTGGCCGCTCTCATGTTCCTCTCTGCTAATAGCTTATTGTAGAAGGCCCATTAAATACAAAGCAGATGTCGGTTATAGGTGCCGCTAGTGTATACTGTAATTTACATAATGTAGTGTGCATGTGCGTGATCGTTATACAAATTTTGCTTGTTTGAATTGACAACTCTTATATTACGGGCTATACAAATTATTTACGCTCGCACAAATATTCTTTGAAATTTTTTAAACTAATCAAAGAATATCTTTAAGAAACATGTCCGAAAATATATTCGATGAATATTTGTTCAAAGGTTAGTAACCTAAACAATAATACTATTTCATGAATACTTATGTTATATGTTAATATAATGATTAATGTTTATTATGTTAAAATGCTATGTTTATATGTTACTATGTTATAATGCTGTATTTATATATTACTATGTTATAGTGCATTATTTATATATTGCTGTGTTATATTCTGTTTGTATGTTATATTTTTTGTATTCTCATACAGAAATAATTACATATCACAGATTATCATAAAGCTGAGAATACCGATGAAGAGGAAAACAACAATGAATTGCTGTCTCAATTGTATGCTGATATTTATTATCCATCAATTAATGAATATGAATTAGGACCAGATGTAGTATCAAATGCTGTACCACTATCTAATTGTACCATTAATGAGTTAAGCGAACAAGAAAATATACAATATAAACTTAAGGATAAAGCGATCTCAGAATTTAAAGCCATTGAAGGTAAATATAGCAATATAGCAAAGTTATAGTATAAAATGTAAAGAGAATATTGAGATTAAAATATTTAATTTTTTGTATCATCTGAGTATAAATGATACAGCAGTCAAGCATGTTGATTGATACTAAAATTCTATTTTGTAGAACCAGAGGAACCAGTTGCTGAGGTAATTGTTCAAGCTAAAGGAAACAATTTAGTTACTCTAAGAACAAGTAACATTGCAGGTATGTTGAATAATTGTCAATAAATGATATAGCAGTTAACATGCTGATTGGTACTAAAATTATGTTTTATAGGACCAGAGGAACCAATTGCTGAGATAATTGTTCAAGCTAAAGGAAACAATTTAGCTACTCTAAAAACAAGTAACATTGCAGGTATGTTGAATAATTGTCTAATTGTATAATATGGAAATATGGTATTCTAATAATGGGATTTTAACTAACTCTTTATTGATGGTAGGAAAGAAAAAGAAGAAACGTTCTTCCAAGAAGCAACAGCTTTTCAAAGAGTTAAATAATAAATGCTGGAAGAAGTCAGAAGAAAAAATTATTACTTTAGACGAATCAGATATAGAATTGGATATGGACACAAAGTACAACGTTTCACAGAAAAAAGTGAAACAAGAAATTCAGTCATATAAAACAGAAAAAAGAATTTCAGATAATGACACTGACTGTGAGTCTATTTTTGAGGTGCCACCACCATCAAGACCAAAACCACTTCTCATCGATTTGCAAGACTCTGACAATGAAGACGCTGGAAGTTCGATAGACGAAGAGGACTTGCTCGAGGGAAGATTGCGAGGGAATAAAAATGCACCCAAGGATAACTCAGGAGTCTCAAATTCGAGAGCTTCCTCATCTAGTCCCGAAGTGGAAATTATAGAAGTATTGTCCAATTGTCAAGACAAAACTGCTGATAGTACAGCCATCAATACACTTTTGCTAAACAAGGATACATCGGTAAACAAGGATATATCGGTAAATGGTAGAAATACACACATATATAAATTTAACGATATTATTATGAACTGTACGATGATTCAAAAAAGTGCCAGAAGAATCGATGAAATCATGCACTTATCCAAAGGTACAAAACAAAATGGGAGAAGCATGTTGAATGACGACACGAGCCAGCGTTCAAAGAGACCATCACAGGACATGGCGTCAGGAAGCAATAGCACAGACATTGCCAGCACATCTCATGAAACATGTCGGACATCGCAGGAGGGAGAAATAGACACCGGCACACTGACGAAAAAGATGCGGCAGGATGTTAATACCAATAAAATAAACGAACCATATAATATGGTGTGTAGTCTCAAACATGCAGTGCAAAATTTGCAGAACAAATTATTAGAAGTGTCATGTAATACCACCAATAATTCAATGATGAGCCTAAAGAGACACAGCGAAGGCAACAATGAAGACAACGGCGAAAGCGAGAACAACGCAGGCAACAGTAGTGTAGATAAAGGAAGTGGAGAAGTGAAGAGCAACAGTCCCGTGAGGAAGCGACAGCGTATTCCTTTAACCGACCAGCTGAAAGTTGTATCGACGCCGCAGATCAGCGGCAACAAAACGATAAGAAACACTTTGTACTGGACCAACTATTTTTTCAAACCGCTTCCGCAGCAATTGAAGAACTTCTACAGTGACTCCCGTGGCCAAGAGAACTTTGACATTTCCAAGCTTCAGCGCAGCATGTCGAGGGATCCGAGAATGTGGAAAATTTTGGACGAGGATCTGATGCCCAGACCTGCGATGAAGCGTGGTAGATATTGGAATAAATACAGTTATCAACGAAATGATCACCTACATAAAGACTGCTTGGAAGTATCTAAACAACGATGTTGTATGTGCGGCATGAAGGGTCATATGCAGTGGCGATGTCCGCAACAGGTATGCCTTACCTGCGGCAAGAAGCAGAATTCTTACCTCCAAACCTGTGACTATTGTTCCACTTTGCTCTGCACAATGTGCTCTTCGGTGGGGCACAAGAAGGAACATTGCCCTGATCTCTGGCGACGGTACCATCTGATAACGAAAGAAATAAATAAACCGCAGAGACTGCATCATGTGATGAAGCCGGCAAGCCAGTTGCATTGTTGTAACTGCACCAAACGCGGTCACGAGTCGTCTACATGCAAGGAATTTCGATGGTCCCGGCACTTTCCCACTCCGGCCTTTGTGACGAATTACACGGAAGGACCCATGTATCAGATGGAAGTCCATTTTCAGCGCCCATTTTCGTCTCTAATACGCCTAATGGACACTGAGAATGCGAATGTTTCATCGTTCAAAACGAAAAGCAACAAAATGCCAAACCGGCAGATACACGAGAATACGCCAGTAATGAAAGCGCAAACGAAACCATATACCGACGTAGGTCCGTCAACGTCGTCAGCATGTATGGAAACCAGCGAAAAAATGTGTACGCAAAAGGATACAGTGATGATGTTAACGGAAGCCACTATATTAATATTTGTTAACGTGATATATTGCTGCGGAAATTTTCACGACAAGAAAAATTCCAATGCGCGGGTATTAGTGAGTAATCTTTCTAATCACCAAGAGTTGAGCAGGTCAGCGAAAAAATTTGTGCAAAGCAAATTCTCGAACAATGCCGTCAACCCAGTCTTCCTCAGAAAACTGCGAAAAATAGTCGAGTTCCAGATAATGATAGGTCTACCAACCGGTAAATCTGAAGTAATGGTACAATTAGTGGCGCCGAAAGAATGCATCTACTTGTTATTTCGTCTGCTGATTCATTGGCTGAATCTTCCATTCGTCGAAAAGCAGAACGGGGTGAATGTGAATCTACCCTATAATACCAACGAGATGTACCAGCTTCTTAAAAATCAAGATATACGGCACTTTAATAAGAACAATAAGAACCCAATGAAACACATGAAACTTTTAACCAAGTTTCAGAACAAGCTGGTTAATATGCCTAAAAGCAAAGAATATTTTCACTACCAATCGTGTGTGTGGGATATACAAACCAAACTTCTTGCATACATCCATAGCAAACCGAAGCCGAGTGCCCATTTTCGCAATATTTTGTTATATATAGAAGCGTTGAAGTCGGGAACAAAGACCAATCAACTGGACGCTGCAACCTATCTTGATATTCTTCTAAGTTACAACAACGTATTTACACCCCACACGCCGCCAAACTTACAAACTACAATAAAGCACATAATGCAATTGCAGCAAAATTCGGAGAAGAAATCGGTGTTCATAGGAGAGCAACTTCCCTCAAATGCTGATGTAAACCCTTCGATACCATCTGCAACGTCGACTTCTTTTATGTCACAGAAAATTAATATTATAAATCCCTTCGCGATTACGAATATTCAGCGTATGTCTGAGGATATTTCAAATATCGCTGAGACAAATTTTACAGAGGACATTAATATTCAGAATATGTATGAGAATACTTCAAATATTGTCGAAACAAATTTTACAGAAAACGTCGATATTTACCAGCCAGTAATTAGCGACGCAATAGAAAATCTTATGCAACCTCCTCAGAATTGTTTCCTTGATGTCGAGCCTGTATTAATTGATTTGGAAAATTCGGAAAGAGAGGATAGTCAAAGGTCAATAGATAATGTGAATATTAACACTAATGTACAGGTGACTCAGCAAAATGTACTTACAATAAGTACGAGTAATCATAGTAATAACAAAAAATCTGGGTTACAAAAAAGAAAGAAAGTACTGCTTAAAACAAAAAAACAGTTAAAGAATGAGAGATTATACAAGGAAGCAAAGGAATTTGTTGATAAGGCCTATGCGTTTAAATTACCCTATATGATAAAAGCGGCGGAAGATTTACAAACAAAAATAAAAAATAAAATGCTTGTATATAAACATCTTGACGTACTGAAAAGAATGGTGAACATGGAGAACAAACATCAGAAGAAAATTAAGGCTTATTGCAATCAGATGAATTAACAGTTCCTTCATAGCTGCTTGTTATCTATATGTCATCATTTGACATTTGTTCAACTGTAATATTTTATAATTTTTTCTGTACATCTTCCATTAAAATTAATTTTGAATAACTATGTACTGAGAAAATTGATTATTATTAGTGTTTTTATTGAAATTATCACAATTCTATAAAAGTATAACCAGTAATTCTGAGATCCTTACGATACAACAGCCAGATTTATCATAACAGTTGCTTTGCGGTAATTTGTTTACTTCCTTGAACAATAGCGCGGTTGTGAAATATTTTATAATTTCATTGTTTTTAAATAAACATATTGAGAAAGTGATTAAATACTTTTTAATTAAATGATTAAGGTTTTATAGAAATAACCATTATATAGAATTGTCAGAAATATGACAAGTTTGTGAAATTTGTCATTTTCATTTTGTAACAAAGATATCTTAAAGAGAAAAAGAGAAATATATTATTACAATAAAATATGAAATATCTGATGGTAATTAATAAATTATAATGTCAATGTTAAAATCTTAAAAACAAAAATAAATTGCTTTTTATATTTGTGTTTTGATTTTTAGTATCTTGTATCTGTCTTTATATATATATATATATATATAAACTAATTATAAACATAGCAATTACAATTATATAATTGAGTATTACACGAGTGAGTTAATATATGAATATTTACATAATTAAGATTGTAATTACAAGTTATCTTTATTCTGTATATGCTATGTCTTATATGCTTAATTGAAATATTAAACAATTTTTTCATATATTATAAATAAAGGATTGATCTTTTAAAAACTTCAATGTCAATATAACATATTTATTTATTATCACTGTTTCATGTTACATTTATAATCATAAATTTAAATCAATAAAATCTGAAACTTAGTGACTTTAATGTTAAAAGTATCGAATCTACATCCTAGAAATCTTACTTTACATATAATAATACCAGATATGATATAAAATAAAATATAATACATATGAATGATGCCGACAATGTTACATTTATTTGAAAAATAACTCATCAGTCATTTTGAATCCCATTAATAACTTGTTAATGTTCCAGACTGCAAAGTTACTTCAGTCTTGCACAAGTAAACTTTTGAACTGTCCAACATTGTTTTGATGACATCGTACATAGCATCACCAAGTTTACTATCATCAAATGATCTCTTTTGTATTATCATTTAGTATCATCAGTAGAGTTTATCAAATGTATCAAGTAATCAGGGCAAATTAAGAGTTTGTCTGTTATTTCTTCATCGGTGGTGGTCCTACCATAGGAGGTGGTGGTCCATTCATCGGAGGCCTCATGTGTCCCATAGGTCCTATAGGCCCCATCATCGGACCCATTGGCCCTAGTGGTCCCATCATAGGAGGCCTCATACCCATCATTGGAGGTGGTATTGGTCCATGTGGTCCCATCATCATAGGGCCACCGGGACCCATCGGGCCAGCTGGATGCATTCCTGGTGGTGGCATCATTCCTGGAGGGCCTTGAGGTGGCACACCCGATCGCGATCCCAGGCTGGAGCCAAGATTCGGCGGAGGTGGTATAGCTGCACCCTTGTTTGCAGCGAAGGGGTTGGAGGCAATTTTACCAGCTTTGAAGGCAGCGGTTGTTGCATCAATGAGATGTTGGGCTTGCTCTTCCATCCATTTTTGGTAAAAATACTTCACGTTGTCTTTATGCTTGCGACCCTGACAATGCGTCTTTCGTACGCTCGGTGAATCGTGTGTCAGGTATGTGTCACAATAATCACAATAGTATTTCGGCATCGTGTCGATGATATGCGTTTCTACGAATTCTTAATAGAGCGAATAATCCAAATTTTTTTCTGTGACTGTTTACTATTACAGCTATTGACAAACGAACAATCGATGTTTGTAGGTTATGTTGAATGCGATTAACTTGTATACTCAAGCGCACTCTAGATTAGGCCTGGTCTACAATATGTGTTGTAAACTGTAAGCCGTAAGAACTGACCAATTATAGCCGATTATTTTTGTAATAATCGACTGTGATTCGCCAATTCTTACGGCTTATAATTTACGACACGTATTGTAGACCAGGCCTTAATAGTCTGTTCTTTTTAGCTGCACTACTGAACTGGTGCAATAAGTTAGAGTGAGAAAAAATATAGTTATCTCAATCTAACTTATTGCATCAGTTCAGCAGTGCAGCTAAAAAGAACGGACCATAAAATTGGTGATGCGCATGATCATCAACTTGCTGAATGTCGAGTATAGAGAAATAACTATGCGGTTTTAGGAAATTTTAGTAAGTTTTCACTACTCTAATTTGGCGGTTACCAGCATCAATTGCAGGTCGAAAATTTAAAAAATAATCCCAGCGAACACAATATTACATGTAACGTGCATGTTAGTTGTAATTTCCTACTCAACAATATATAAGTGTTATATAACACATGTGTTATATAACAGTTATATTGTTGAGTAGGAAATTACAACTAACATGCACGTTACATGTAATATTGTGTTCGCTGGGATGTGTTTTAACATAAAATAATGTCACCAACAGCTTGTCGATGGCTGAGATAACTCTTTTATATAGACAGATAGTTTATAACGGATATAAATGTCATTCATGAATATAGCACGTAGAAAGAAATTTCTGACGTTATCTCGAACGCGATAGACATGATCGTTTTGTTTTATGTTAATTCTCGGCAAATGGGATATACCTTGGCCACCTAGTAGCTCATTCGTAGCAGAATAGAACAGAACACGTAGGATGTGCGACTTGATACGTAGAAATTATAGGCATTATCATGAATTCTGTGTTATTACTCACCAGTTTCTCCTTCGACCAGTTAAAGATGTAGAGCACAGCGACATAAGCTCCGAAGGTGGAACACAGCAGTATGAGCTCCAAAGGATCACAACTGTGGATGATCGTTGGACATTATTAACGATACTCCCATTTCACCAAATATTCGTTTTCGGCAGTCTGAGAGTGGGAGTAGTCGGAAAGGTGGGCTTACTGTAATTTCTTCTCGACCGGGTCGGCGTCATGAAGCGTAAATTTTGATTTTATATCGCCATCACGCCGGGAACAAGTTACACTTGGCTCTACTTTTCTGACGATGTATTCATCCACCCACATTCTGCCGTCCTGCGAGATTTTATCACAGCAACGCTGATTTTCAGTACTCCTGACGACGACAATCAGCGTGCAAGATTCAACTTCGGTAAGTCTAAATCGCGCCAAATACGGAATGACTATCGAACTCACACGATTATACCCGGCAGCCATTCCGCAACTGACCGTTGGCCCCCACTCTCGCGCGCGCTTGCGATTCTCGAAGTATCGAAACGCGCGATACTTCAGGCGGTATTTTTCACTTCCTTATGCGAGGGACTCGACACTAGTGCCTTTTTCCCTTTCGACGATGTTCGAACGTGTGAGTCATGTCCTCTTGGCAATCTCGGCGGTAGAATATGCATCAAGTTCTCTTTCTGGATGATTCAAAGGTAAGAAATGGATATTTCAACTCTTCGTCGCCATGACGCGATGTATGTGCAATACTTTACGCGGGATTCCGAGTGGCCCGTTGCCCGACATATTTGCACTCTGGTCTTTTCGGTAATATTTGATTGTAACGAGCGCGCTAAATTTCCTTTCGTCAGTCTTGGTGATAAATCGCGCACCAGATTCTCCTTCTGAGCGGCTCAGATATAAAGTACATTTCGATTCTATTTCTGCCCTTGAATATTTACATACTGGTAATAGATTGTAGTAAATAACACATATATGTATACTACATGACTAATGTCTAAATGTAACAATGCGTAGATTATATAATGACAATAATTGATCATACTTGCACAAAACTTTCTCAAGATCTCTGAGGCATTCATAATTTCCAAAGTATTCAACAACTACAAAACATTCAAGAAACTTTAATTTTGAATAGCATATTTGAAATAAATCAAGGGTTGTATTTTTATATATCCAGTGTGATGCGACTTACAAATCATACATGGTCCCATTCATTTGTTTAGAGCAAAGAAACTGAGGGTGAAGAACCATCCCCAGGACGTCCTCAAGACGTACTCTGGACGTTCTCTGGACATCTGTGCTATTAGGGTGAATATTTTAGTTATTTAGTTGCATCGAGATTTGGTATAATATATAAAAAGTGATGATGCATGAGGTAGGCTTGATAAAAAGGAACAGTTTGTTGACGAAATAACTCCGTTTATTCTGAGCAAAGTACAAAACACTTTTTTAGCTTAAGATCTAGTAAGTTATGTTTTCAAAGTTATTCTTGTTCTCGCAGTATCGCGAGTAACTGATATAAATATGTCATCGATAATCACGCGATGTAACTTGGGAAATAATTTAATTAAGGCAACTCTGTCGTCACGCTATACATGCTATTAGTCTTTCTCGCGTGTGTATATATATATATATGTATATATATATATATATACACATATATATATACATACATATATATGTGTTATGATCAAAACCTGAAATCATCCATTTAATAAATTTTGCTGCACTTTTCTTCATACTTTGGCTGATTCTGTCGGCTACATCGAGAAGTAAAATTTAAGAACTATAAACATAATGTTCGTGTTTCGAGCTGTAGCCAACAAATTAAAGTCAATTCCAAGAGTGGCTAAATTTTATTGATCAAAGCTCGAAACAATTATAGAGTTTCAATGGAGTTTCGGACTTTGGCCAGTGTAGTTGACCAAATCTGGAATTGGACGGGTATTTCGCGAATTTGCTGCGCTTCGGGCTTCGACTGTAGCATAGTATAAATCTTTCTATGTGCTGTTTGATAACTATAAAGCCGATAAATCGTAAATATCGCATAATTACAAACTTGTCTCACGCGATTTCGAATTAACGGCACTTTTTCTTCCTAAAAGAAAAGGCAAAATAAAATCTCTCTAAAATGCTACACGTAAGTATACTAAATTCTACCCCGACTAGACTAGCAAGCGATCGAGATTTTAAAAAACCGGTTGCGATTACACTGTCCGTTATTATATACAAGTTTCGCCAAAGCTCTCGGCGGGAGTTAGGCTGCCATCGAAGTCGGCAAATAAATTAATCCCTTAACGATAAAAACCTCTAGGATTAGCTCTCTATCGTTAGCGAGCGATTATCCGAGACTATTAACGACGCGCTCGCGAGTCTCGTGAGGTGAACCGTAAATCACACATTTGGTGTTGATCCGTTTGTAGCAAAATATTAGGAGAATCGTGTAAAATCGGGGATGAAACATTTCATTATTTATATAACAATTCGAAAATATATTGGCAGTGATCACTTCGTACACGCGTTAATTTGTAGTAATACACAGCTTCGTACATTTAATTTGTCTATAGCTATAATACGCGATCTACAGTTCACATTGTATAACTTCGCGAGTCTTGATTATCCGTGTATATATATATCGCTTCTTTTAACTCCCGCGAATAAATTAATATAGCCCAAATCGTTAAAAAATACTGTATCATATTTCGATTTGAATTAAGGTAACGATAAGATTCTTACTAGAACTACGAACGTGATTTTCGTCACGTTCCTTCTTCGAGTCATAAATGCTGTTTCGCGAATGAAATCTTGTGCATCGGCGTAACGTTCGTTTTGCATGTTCAAGAACACATCAATATAAAACTGGTAATATTTGTTTTACACCCTCTGACTTCTAAAGCTTCTCTGAGCAGTGAGCATTGAGATCGTGCAGAGATCCATCTACTTTCTTCGCTGAGAAGAAAGGGAGGAAAATTTGAAAATAAAAGATAAGAAAATATATGAAGTATACGGTATCATCATACCATAACGAAAATTGTCCTTAGTTCAACATAAAATTTGCTCAAACGCTGTATAAATGTGTTTCTTCGTAAAATAATTACATCAAATAGGCACACGCGATGTTTTCAGATTATTGGAGTCGGGAATACTCTATATATTTATATTGCTTATTCGATTGAGTTACGTATATATATGATTTAGCAATAATTAAACGCGTGTCATAAAACTTGTTTCCGATCGATGAAATGCGATTTATAATTTAGACGTCTTTTTACTTTACGCGCGAAGCTCTGCAATACTGGGTAATACTAATTGCCACGTTATTACCATATATCACGGTTAGGAATTATTGTCTTTTAGCAGACGCGAGTTGGCGACATTATCTCGTGTCGATTAAAATCGCTCGTAATCAACGAGTACGTAGCGTCGTGTCGAAACTTTTCAGATTCAGGTGTTCAAGAAACGATTGTTTCCACTATTAACTATTCACTAAAGTGGTGGATGAAAACATTATTATAGAAAAATTCTAGGAATTTTAATAAAACGAGGGATATTAGAGTAATACGAATACAATATTAACTCCTCAAACATTATGATAATAATAATTGTTTACTTCAATTTGAATTAAAAATTAAATTATTACTTAATTCATTGACGCCCTCGTTTTATATAATTCATATAACATTCATATTTAATATACATGTATAATATCCATCGCATGGATATATTCTTTTGAGATATTACGTATGTATATTAAATATTAAATATATAAATATTAAATCGTTTAACGTCTGATATTGACTAATAGTATTTGTATACTTTCGAGAAAGGAAATGAGCAAATCCACCATAATAATAAAGAGTTAAATTTTTAAACTTGCACCATAAGAACGTCGTGCTAGTTAACAAAGTATTCCCAGATCACAAAGCGGTCTCAAGAGTGGGTGCACTCGGGCTACGTGCAACGTTTTGTATCGCAGCGTGTTGGGGTGATTCCGATCTCGCTCTAAATCTCTTCTTGAAGTAGAGGTTCTGTGTTTGATTGGCGTTCGTGGGTGTACTAGCCAGGAATTGAGCTCTCGCCAATTGATTGCTAAGTCTCCTCGATTCGAATGCGCTTATGGCGTCGAGATCTTTTGAATCAGTCGGCAATGTAGCCTTCAAATACTGCATCGCCGTGTTGATGGCGGTAATTTGAGGATGTGAAGATGCTGTGTCCTGGACGGTTGTCGTATTCTTGACGGGAGACACAATTCGCGTGGGATTGTTAGGTACACTCGTAGTTAGTTCTTCCGTTTTATCGCCTTGATTTCGCGATTTCGTCGTCGTGAGATCAGCATCGAGTTCGTTCGTCGGCATCTTGTCCGTTGTCTCGTAATCAGCCAGACGCAAATGAGTCGGTAAGTCGCTGCAAAGGTCCAGTTGTCTCCCGAAGTTCAGTCTTGAGATAGGTGACGTGTTCTCTGGCGAAGGTTTCATAGCTTTCTCCTCTGCCGCGGTGTCTTCGATTATGGTGGAGGAGAGCACATCCGTTCTCGGCGTCTGGAACCTCCAGACCGAGCGAGGACTCAGAACCTTGGCCAAGGGACTCTGATGAGCGTTCGGCAACGGTTGCTGTTGCTGTTGCTGACATTGGTTGCGCGACATTTGTAATTGCTCCGCAGCCGATCGTCGCACAGGACCTGTTTTCACGCTCTGCTGAAGGAGTAAACGTTTGAAATCCATTCGCGATGTGGGCGACTGAACAGTGGTCGGTATCTAGAAAAGATTAATCAAATTAACAAGCGAACTATGGCCAACTGCAAATCGAGTTACAGTAGTTTAGAAAAATAGAGATGCCAATCGTTCGTGTAGAGGAAAATCAAGTTCTTCAACTCGAGTGTAACCTCATGATTACCTCTGGAGCTTTCTGAGATTCCGGGCTCCAACTGTGTCTGGTGCCAGCCGGTGTCTTCACTAGGGAGTTCATCGAGCCGTATGGCGATACATTTTCATTATTGTCATTGAGTTTGATGTTAAGTCGCTTCTTCGACTTGTGAATCGCGGCGAATAGCTCCTCGTTAGACATAGTGCTCTTGGTGGGTGACAGGATCAGATTCGTCGGTGTGCTCCTGCCGGAAGAGGTCTGGACAGGAGTACTCCTACCGGACGAGCTCGGCACCGGCGACGCGCAATTATTAGAGGCGGTTAAAGCTAGACGTTCCGCTACGGTTGGCGTCGATCGCTCGGTGGGAGTAGACGATTTGAAGCTGTTACCGTAGCCAGGGCCGATCGGCGAAATTGGATTATTCTTGAGAATGTCCGCGTTAGGAGACTTCGCAAGAGGATCATTGGCGGGTGAAGATGCGAAGAATCGATATCCGAGTGCAGCTAGGCTTAGAGGCGTTGCGAACCTGCTTAAAGACAATGAGATGTTTAACACTATGTCAATCACAATTGCTTATTGTTAGCGCTGAGTTCCCTCGATGAACTCGATGTTTAATGATCTATGCTCCCACGAGATAAACGTGGCGTTTTCATACAATGAAGATAAATAAAAGATAATTGAGGCGATTGCGTAATTAGTGTCTTTAGACCGTCTCTCGATACCATCTCGACCTGGTCTAAGTGATAGAGTTGCTAAAGGAAAACGCGATTAACCTGTTTCTGACATCCACGACCGACTGCGGCTGACTCTGCACGTATCTGCCCCGCATTTCCTGCTGTTCCAAGTTCCTTCTTCCCAAGTCCACGTGGGAGCCGTATCGAGCTTGCTCGTTCTCCGCAATCCTCTGGCCTTGCTTCGCCATCACGTGCATCCCGCTAATGGTACCGTGTTCCAGCCCTCTCGTGATGTCCGGTGTGACGCTGCGCGGTGGGTCGACCTCTCGTTGTGGTCTCCTCGTCGGCAGGGTATAGAATTGCTGATTGGCATCCCTGGCCGGTGAACAGAGCTGCTGGTTCCTCGCGTTATGCATGTGCACCGTTTGATAGTTCGCGGCTCGTTGGTACTCGTAATTGGACATCCGCGGCTGCGGATGTTCGAGGAGGTTCCTGCGGCTGTCATATTGCTGGATGGTCGAACGAGGGTCGTAGATATCCTGCGAATAGGTCTGCTTCCGGTCTGTAATCGGTTGCTGCTTCTCGTTATCCGAATACGTTCGTAGACACGGCTGCGAGTCCTTCAGGATCTCCTGGTACTTTTGCGACTTCTGTCGGTCCTCCGTAGGAGACGGTGGAGCGACATAGGGTGGCGGTTGGACTATCGCCTGGGGCGGAATCGATTCCGGTGGTATGCTGAGTAAGGGGTTGTCTGCAACAATTAAGAGGGTGTCGTTACGTTCCTCGCAAATGTTACAACTTGAGTCGCGATCGAATCGAGTACGAACGTTTCGTTTTCAGACGTTTGAAATGCGATCCGGGTATTACTATCGTTTAAGGTCCTTCAGGCAGCGCGAGAGGGAAGTTCTTTCGAAAACTTGTTAGATTCTGGTCATGCCTACGGATGTTATACAATTGGTACATTGTATTATTTTTACGGCTATCTCTTACTTTTTGTTACGATTATTCTTAGAAATATCATGATTAGAAGTTTTATAAGGAAGTTTCAATTATATATATATATATATATATATATATATATATATATATATATATATATATATATATATATATATATATATATCAAATCCAGGGATTCGTGAGTAAATTTTAGTACGATTGTTAGTCCTGTTTGTTGGTCTTATATAAACGTTTCTACTGAAAGCGTTAACGATACTGGATTAATTGATTATAAGACGCAATTACGAATTTCAACACGTACATTGAGAATATTGGCTGACACGAGGACTTATTAAAACAGCGATTGATTAATCCAAGCAAGGCAAGCATGTTGCAAAAGCGCTACAAACACATGCATGCGGTAGACAAAACGCGGGCAAATCACAATACGATGCACGAGTCTGATGTCAACTTCCGCACGAGTTGCTCAAATGAGTGGTTGAAAAATCGAATTTTGACGCACATTAAAACCAAATGTGTGTACAAAGCAAGATAGTAGATATATATATATACACGTCCATCTCGAAGAATTTAACTGCGAGATATATATACAAAAGAGAGAAAGTATATTGTAACTTGTTTCAAAATAAGAAGGCAAACTCGTTGACGATCTATATCGACGTCAAGCTCGCGCGCTGTATCTGCCAAAGTTAAAAAAAACGTACTCACCAGGTACATGGAGCATGGAACTATGATATGTGTGAGTTACTAGTGAGGAGTGCCACACGCGCGTGAGGGTGCATTTTTTCTCTAAAACTATACAGTAGGCACATGTACGAGGATACGCACATTAAAACGAAAAAAAAAGAAAATAATACGCAAAAAACAGGCTCGAGGATCGCGGAATTTACGCGGAGGGGTGCAGTATTTACAGACTCAGAGGTGTAAATGATGCATGTGGTATGTGGATGAGACGACAGAAAGAGAGATCGAGAAAGAGAGAAAGAGGCAGAATGAGAGAAAAAAAATGACAAAATGCAACGGCTTTCCAAAAGAATGACGTCTATTCACATACATTCCTCGTAAAACGTTAATGACATCGTCTCTCGTCGGCGTGTCTAATTCTATGTACAGGCAGACTGCGCCACGATGCAATCCGGGTGTACAGAAGTGAGAGAGAATGTATACATATACATATTTATATAATAACGTTGCGTCGGTCTTAACGGCGGATACAGGATCTTAATGCTACGACACATATACACATGTACAGTACACGTGGATAGTGCATGCTCCCCTGCCCAGGTTGTAAGTACGTCCTCGGATATTAGTTGCAAGCTGATTAATTAACACTGCTGCCAAGGTAACACCGTGAAGAACGTGAGGGAACGCGAGCGCGATGCGCGCCGCGATTCTAATTAATGCAGATGTGCCGGTATTTTACAACCGGTATGTTATTATCGCGTGTTACCGCGCGAGCACGTGGGACGCGAACTCGCAACACTCGCCCCGTATAACTCGATGTTATCGCGCGCTAACTAAGTGTTCGAGGTTGACATGGTAACTATCGTGTAGATTACAGGTGGTGTGTGTCCGTTACGAAACGGCCGTTATATCATCCGTGAAGGGAGCACGATCCCTGAGAACGTGCGCGCGAAACGACCCTCCGTGAACATTCTTACGTGCGTAATTCCTCGTGTCCGATTGTATTCGACATTGTCTCTCTTTCTCTGCCATAGAGATCATTTTCCTCTTTTCTCTCTTTTTTTCTTTTTATAAGCAGCTCTAGTACTTTTTAACGCGCCAGATCTGGACGGGAAAAAATGTAGCAGTCAGTTATGTCGATATCGCTCTAGAAAATTAAATATCTCGATTGAAATGTTGTCGAAAAAAGATGTTGTCGCATTATCACGGTGCCACCCTGATTGTGAAACCCATGATCGCAGCTACGGGGTTCTATGTGTCCACACAGTTAGTCCTTGTTAGTCAGTGATAGACGCTACTTACAACGACAGGCGAGCACGCATCGAGCTAACATGCGACACGGCAAGTTAAGGCACATTTACGAGAGTTTCACGAGCATGCCGGGACGTCAACTGCCATTGTCCGCTCGATCGTGGCGGATGACGGCCCTATTCACTTGTAAAATACTTAACAACGATCAGTCAACACAGTCGGACTTAGAGGTATGTCTTAACACTTCTCCGACCAGAGCGAAATTAAAGTTGAATAACCAAATCGGTCGGTGAATGCACGGTGTCAATTTCAACTTGTATATTAATCTCGACAAATATGAGGAGGGCGCCTAAAGAAAAAATACTGATAAAAGGTTCTTGCGAATCTTTCATGTCTCCGATCGCACGAACGGAGAGGCGAGATGATCGGCAAAGTGTTAAGGTAACGTCAGTACACAATAACGTGATTCTCGCATCGCCGATCCGTAGACGGAGGTCAATAACTTAGCTTCGCGTAATGCATTATGTGCTCATCGATCAATCGCAAACGAAGCGCGAGAAGAAATTCAGGAGATCGTAGCCGCGCGATTACATTGAAATGCGTACACGTCGGAACGTCTCTTTCCCTCGTTGCTTTATCGACAAGGAAAAAAGAGGAAAAAAGAAGAAGATGAGACTCCGCGTCATTGGGATCAATGATTTCTTACCCTCGTTCACTCGTCTTATCAACGTCGGAACAAAGAATGCGTCACGACGAATTATTCGTCTATCGCGAGCGGATTTTATTACCTCTGAGTAATCCCGCTTTTGCGTTGTCCACGCGAGGGGATTTCGCATTTCGACACTCTCGCTGCGTAGCCGTGAAATAGCCACGAACTCGCGCGGAAAACTCGATCGGCGACACCGAGGCTCGTCGACCTTGCGATAACGCGCAAAGTGGTCGTGGCTGTTTCTAGAAACGCAACGGAGCGATCGTTCTACGCAGAATCCCGAATGGTCGGTAGTAAATCCGTGATCTCCGTAAATCATCATTCTCATCCTGGTCACTGGCCATATGCGTGCAATTGTACACAACAACAGTAACGTGCATCACTATGACTCTAACGTCGCAGACATCTAATTACATAAATTATATTCAAAGACAAAGTACTTCGTATATTACATGACACGTTCGTGCCTTGATATAAATAATGTGGACAGAGAGAGATCGCACTTACGAGGGATCTCGCAAACGAATCACACTTGTGTCGCGTCGAGAAAGAGAAAGAGGGAGAGAGAGAGAGAGAGAGAGAGAGAGAGAGAGAGAGAAAGAGAGAGAGAGAGAGAGAGAAAGCGCGCGCGATTTTTTTCTGTACATTTAACTGGACGGATTTTTCTCTCTCCCTCTCTCTCTCTCTCTCTCCCTCTCTCTCTCTCTCTCTCTCTCTCTCTCTCTCTCTCTCTCTCTTTCTGCTCACGACGCACAATTGCGCGTCTATTCTAAATATAATTACAAATCGGCGAACGGGCGCGCGCGCACGACGAAGATAAAATTTATCGTCGCGGCCGAGTGCGCGGCAAAATTTACACGTGTTCCATCCGCCTCTTACGTCAATCACGTTTATTTTGAAGATTGTACGAGCGAAATTATCTACGACCATCACATCGAATTGCGGCTATGATTTTACGCAACGGTATTTCGCTTTATTCGAGACCGCTCATCGCAAATATAAAAACGCCACAGGTTGTTGTCTCGTCAATTATTATACCGTTTTTATTTTTGTTCAATAGCCGCGCTAATGTTATTGTTTACTCGCGACGTGATTTGCACGAGATCTGTGGTTAAAAAAAATATTTACGGTTATTTTTACGAACGCGCATACGAGATTCTGGTTTTCTGTGCTATCTGTTGTATATTTTGGAGCTGCGGTGAAGAAAGCAGTGTGTGTGTGTGTGTCAGTAAAAAAGATTGAGCTTCTCTCTCTCTCTCTCTCTCTCTCTCTCTTTCTCTCTCTCTCTCTGTCTCTCTCTATCTATCTCCATCTGTCTTTTCATCTCTCTTTATTCTCGTGTTTTCAATGGTACTTTCCACTGGATGTCTTCGCCTTCCCTCTGATGCGCTTCTTTATGTTCGTGCGCTAGTTTTGCAATACCGATAAGGACGCGCGCGGTCACTCACGCGATCTCGCTTTAATGCCAGTGATGTCATTGATATACTTGACGGACAAATTAGCGCCCCACTTGAGTTTCGCGGAATGTACGGAGAGATTTAAGGCACATCGATTGTGGAAAAGTTAGGGGAAAGACTTACGTGTGTTCTGTTAAAATCGAAATTAATAGATCGTCATAGTCCATTGTTACAATAAAAATACGCGCGCGTAATGTGTACAGTTTTATAGTAATATATTCTGTGACGGTCAAGAAGTAACAATAACGCGCAAAATTATTGGTTATGCAACGGATATAAATAAAAATTGCAATGAAACTGTTGCCAAACAAAAGTGTGAACCGTTAAAGTGACAGAAGTTTATCGAAATCAGTACATAAATGGATTAACACAAGTGACAAACGATAAGAATGCAAGATTCCCGCAAATATTTGTAAATATATATTCGATATTTCCTTCGGATTTATGATGTAATATCGAATCGCGCGCTAGTTTTGCAATACTGATAACGATGCATGCGGTCACTCACGCGATCTCGTCGCTTTAACGTCAATGATGTCACCGATATTGTCATAGACTTGAGAGACGAATAAGCACATTTTCTTAACGCAGCGGAATATGGAAAATGATTAAATCATTAATGAAAAAAGTAGAAGCAAAAAGATTTAGATTTGTGCATGTATGTCGTTAATGGATTTAAAATTAGATTTATCATTGGTACGGGGTCGATAATAAATTTGATTTTGGCAACATATGAAAGAAAAATATGAAACAAATCAGAAAGGCAATTAATAATATAATAAAATTTACACTAAATTATCATAAATAATTATGTCAGAAAAATTTGCAATATATAAAATATATAGATCATTCGTAACATTCGTATTATTCGTAACATTTTCTGAAAATCTTGAAGCAAGATATAAAATATTAAACTATAACGTTCTACGTAACGAATACAAATAAACATTGAATTCAATCAAATTCTTGTGAGAATGAGAAGCGCAGGTTATCAAAGTGACAGAAACTTATTGGGAAATATCAATATAAATAAATCAACATAAACGTGATAAAAGATAAAAACACAAGATTCTCGTGAATATTTGTAAACTTCGATCTTTCGTTCAGATTTGTTATGTAACATCGAAAACACGTTACAATGTTATCCATATCAAAATATATATAGATGGTAAAACATGAAATTCCCAATTTAGTATATTTGTTAATGATTTTATGCAATTTATTGCAATTATCGTGTACGAGAGCTGTGAATGAAAACCAAAATGTTGACGAATTTTTAACATACATTGTATAATGTGAAGATATTCGATTTAGATAGATTACAGCTGTAGAATTAATTCGTCACTACCACAGTAAGATTTCGTTGCGACATGTCTCAAGTCTCGAAAAGTCTCATAAAATTATCGAATAATGTAAACATATTTGTTTCACGCAAGCGTAAGAATTGAAGACAAACAAAGCAACTTTCGCGTTTGTCTTGAAATCTCTTGCCGTAGTAGTCACTTCGGCGAATGGTAGTTCGATCGGTAGAAAGGTGATCGGAATGGTAGATCGATGATTGCGAGGCAATGCACTCCCCGCGGTGAATTTTTCGTAATGTTTGACTTACGAGGTCGCCTGGTCGCTATGAAGAGAAGATGTCTCGCCAGCATGTCGACGTATTGGCGGGAACGGCACTGATCGAGCTGAGAATCGCGAGCCGACTTACGACCGAGCGATTCTGCGTATCAACCGACGGCCGGCGACTGTCTGTCTAGCGACAAGATTTCCTCCCCATTCTTGCACCGATAACGTTTTATCGTAACACCGTGTTACAAATCGACTGATACGTGAAGCCCAAAGACCTCCGCCTGTCTTCCGGAAAGGGTTTTCGTCGTCTCGAATATAGAGCGAGTTTTCTTGGAGGAAATAATCATAGGAAATTGTGAACGTCGACGTTAATCTTAGAAACGTGCGTTTCGATCAATTGTTTAGACGTGGCGATTTCGAAAAATGTAATATCGCATGCTCGCACAAAATTGCAATTTCCTTGATCGCGACATCGAGCAGCCGATTGCTTGTAGCCGAAACTTGCACATTGTCCAATTTTCGTGCGAATTTAAGCGCGAGAGAACGTCGCGAACGAAAGACGAACTGTAACTCGCTGTTCGATCGTGAGACGATCGTACCGGAGCGCACTGAAAGCGCCGGGGAGCGCACGAAAGTATTTCAATCCTCGGCCGGGATTTTTGTTTATCGGCATCTGGCTATTATCGTGCCGGGATAAACATCATGTCTGATGCAATTCCGTTGGTTGTTGAGCCAGCGGCTAATAACGCTGATAAGGACTAACAAAGTGAGTCTTCATTGGGTGCCATTCCAGTGCGATAATTCATCATTTTCCTCTTTGCCGAGGAAAGTTTCAGAGGAAAGTTTTAGTGTTAGCTTCGCGATTCGGTGCTCTTCCGCGTACATCCGAGTACATAGAACAAGTATAACACAATGATATTAAAAACATCAGAGCGTTCGATTTTTGATTGAGATGACGCTACTGCATTATTTTATAAATCTAATCGAAGTAACTTGATTAAAGTGGATGTCATTTTTATAAATGTCATAATGTGCATATTGATAGCGAGAAACAGCTGAGGAAACAGTCTCATTTAAGGACAGATCTTAGTTAATGAGAAATCCTGATCTGGGATTTCGCAAACTGGAGTTTTTCATTGGGACAATTTTCTTTTCCTGAGACAATTCGTTTCGAGAACAAGAGGAAAAATCGACTCGCTGATTAACCTCGCCGAGCGCGGTTTCCCAGCGAGCTAATTGCGACAGAACTATTGAACTCTAAAATCTTCCACGCACAATCGTTTGATGATAGAGAGCTCGGCGTTTATCTCGCAACAGAATTAAAACATCATGCCGGGGATCGTCGGCCGACTCGCAGCTGGGAAGATCGGACGAATGTTAGATAGAGAAAACGTGACCGGTACGCGTGTATCTCCGACTCGTCTATCTTTGTTCGCGTCGCGCGAGAAAAAGTCGTGCGAACTCGTTATCGTGACCGTCGAACGGTTCGTTTGCCCCGTCAATTTGATGAAGTGACACCACAGGCTGAGGCCCTCCCTTTCGCATAACGCGCAGCGTGCCGATATCTCCCCCGCGACTGCTCACTTCTCGCTCCAGTTGCATCTGATTAGACCTTGATTCCGCTCATCCTCCGGTCTATTTTACGCGATGATCTTACCGCGGTTATTTAACGTCTCGAAATCACTCGCCGCAGTTATCGGCGACGGTCGCGGACTCTTGGCAGAAAAAACAGAATGCCGTAATGCTCGCCGTGCGGAAAAAAACTTTTGCAATTTTACCGACTCTAGTTCCCTAACGAGTTGTGTATCCCGCTTTAATTATTCGATTCTATTTTTTTTTTCCTTGAGAAGCTTCGATTTTAATTATGAAACTTGGAAGAGACAGAAATATTCCATGAATTATAATTTCAGACTAAACATACACATGTATAAAATTCTCTTCAAAATATACTTTTGCGCGAAATTTAATACGCGAAATTTATGCTGTATAAAAATCTCTTGTATTTTATCATGGTTTTTCTCTTTGGAGCATTTAAAATCTCGAAAAGATGAGATTCAATTTCAATTCACAAGGCACTTGCGACAAATAATAATCTTATTGCTCGCTCATCAATAATAAGCGGCTCGCGGTATCGATTTCTCGTGCCGATTAGAATCCCCCCTCATGTTGTCAAAGACAAACTACGGAACGGACTCGGCGAGTACAGGCGCATTCGATGCGGCGTAAAACTACGTTATCGTATTCGCCAAGCGTGTAATGATCGCCGAGCGAAGCCGAGCGAACGAACGATGCGACGATCCGTTTGTTTTGCCAGACGCGACCCGACTCGTGTCAATTCGCATCAACCTCGCTCTTTATCTTGTCATTCCCGTCCCGTATATCGGCATTGCAAAACTGGCGTTGCCGGCGTGCATGTTGTCGCAGCATACTTTACCAAATCTCGGTATCGTTGCTGGAATACTTGAGCACCCTAGCCGGCTCCAAATCCGAAGCTCTCGGTCTAGGACTGACGGGTCCTGCCTGAATAGGCACCGGTGGCTTCATATCGAAGCTCACGTTATCGTCGAGCTGCGGCTCCGGACTAGAGACCGTCTCGGGATAATTGATCCTCTCCTTCAGCAGCTCCTCCTGCAGCTCCTCGGAGGGCGTCCTGCAGATCTTGGACTTCTCCGCGTTGCTCGAGAACTTTTTAATGAACATGATCGGACTGTTCGCCATACGGTAACTCTCGCTGCGTTTCACCTTGCGATCCGTCTTGTCACAACTATACGCCGGATAATCAGACCTCCTGCTAGTCTCATTATCCGTACACGCGGCTGAGAGCTCTGCGCGATCGATACTCGCGCTCTTATCACCGGAGTCACGATCGTTCGACACCGAAGTCGCGCTTTCCTCGACCGCGCTCCGATTGTCGTCCGCGGCAGGATCGAGACTCCGTCGACAGAAGCTCGGAGTATCGAGGTCCGAGATCAACAATTTCCTACCTAATTTCGGCGTGTTGCCCGTCACCCGCAAGATCTTTGGACAGAGACCCGATCCATCCATTCGCAAATTCGCGGGGTTGTTGAGGCTAACCTCGCGACTGACCGCAGACGACGGTATAATCGCACGGATATTCGTCGCCGCGCAAGCGTCGCCGTTGAGCTGCGGCGGCTGGTCCTCATCGTGTACTCGACTTCTTAGAGTTCCCGTCTTGGACTCGTCCTTAGAGCGTGGAGCGACCGCAGACGTGCGTGGTGCGGCTTCTAATCTACCGGTGCGGCCAGTGCAATCGCGCTGCTCGTCGGCGCTCGTGCCGGCGCTCGTGGACGTGGTCGTGGTCTTACCTTCGTCGCCTTGCACGTTGACGTAAGCCCCGCGGACCTGTCTGTGCGGACTGGTCGGACTCGTAGGACCGACCACGGTCGCCGGCGTGCGCACATAATCCGGACTGGCCGCGCGATCCGGACTCCGTGCTGCTCGTATGATCAGTTTGCCCAGCTGTGGAGACGTCGGCGGCGTGGATCTACTGAGTCCACCGTCCACGGCGTCTCCGCTCTTCGGCACGGCGCGGATATTCGGCGTAGCGCGATGCAGCAACGGCGACGGGCTAGGTGACACACCTTCCCGCACGAAGGGACCTCGAAATAAACGTGTCGCGTGAAAATACGAATTTGGTCCTACGCTCCTACGTTTGCTTAGCCGAAGATTGCACGAATCCGAGAATTACTTTCGATAATTAATTTTATTTATGTTAGGAATCCAAAAGAATTATGGATGTAGTTCGTAAGAAATCTACACGCCGGTACTTGGTACCGGCACTCCGATGTAAGGTACTAATTGCCCCAATTAGCTCTAGATGAACATATTTAAGAGGTTTCTTGGCGCAAATGAAGATTGAGCGAGATGACGCTCACAATAATATAGTTATTCTTAAAAATGTACACACCACGAATTGATTTTCATTTATACCAAAAATCTTTAAGATATATTCATTTGGAACTGATTGGAACAATCTCGTAAAGTTTCATAAGAACATCGGAGGACTTCCAGCGACGATTTCGACGATTCTTGCAGACTCAGGCTAAGTTGAAATTTTCGACGGGAAGAACCATTTTCCCATCTAAATAACAGTAGATCCTAAACCTAAACAGTAGGTCCACCAGGACTACCTACCTGGATTGAACGTTGTGTGCGCTCCTTTCCTCCTCTTCAAGCTATCCGACGAGTACACGACTTTCCCCTCGGAATCCAAAGTGACGCGAGCGCCTTGCCTCTTCCTTTCCAACGAGGAATCCGGCTTTTTCGGCAGCTCACTCAGGCTCACGTATTCCGCGTCCTTTTTGAAAATGTCGGAATTAGCGTAGGTGGCGGTAGGTCGGACAGGGGTCATACCCGACGACGACGATGACGACGACGACGAGGGCGGCCCCGGACGCTTGTCGTTGTTGTTCCTCACGTCGGCTATGGTCACATAGTCGCCGGAGTCTGCGTTCGACAACTCCTGCACAGCGCCGTTCTTCGTGGGTTGCTTCCTGCCCGGAAGCACGCCACGAAGTTTCCCCAGAACGCCGCTCAATGGACTGATCTTCATCGACGACTGGCTCGTCGTTATCGGCCTGTCGTTGCCGCTCGTAGCTGGCAATACCTGCACGGTGGCGTACAGATTTTTGTCCTGACCGTTGATCACCTCCATCTTGGAGGTGCCGACGGTAGCAGACATCAATACTGATCCGCCGCTCTGCAGGTCGGACCGCCGTGGCTCATTCTTCTTCTTCTTCTCGCTCTGTTCCGTTTCTCGAACGTGTTCATCGTCGGAACCTGGAGGCGTGATTACACACATCGAAGGAATCCGACTACTCGTGATCGCCGTCTTTGAGCGGATCCTCTCGATGCGTTCGCAGCCTTCCAGGTCGCTCGATTCCGAGTACTCGAATTCGGAGCACGATCGGCCGGTGCAGGCTGGGCTCGAGGCGGATTCGACCGGCGACGAAGACGTGTTGTGACCGCTGTCTGGTGACTCGCCGCCGTTTTGATTTTGACCATGGACCTGTGGACAGAGAAAAACGATGTCGTTGAGGAATAAGGTCGAATAGATTGAAGAAAGTTGAAGAATAGCTACGATACGCTAGCGATTATTATTTAACTGATGAATGCGAGGTACAGTAATGTTTCATTGAATATCATTTTCTTCAAAAAGTAGATTCTAACTTAGCTGTCTAACGTTAGGTATCGAGTTTTAGTATTTCGATCGCATCCTTTCCTGTTACAGGAATTAGAGAAATGTTGAAAACGAATTCGAATAACAAAGTTTGAACTCACCATAGCAACAACCGTGAGACTGGACTTGCGTTCCGGGGGTGGTGGTGCCATCAACGCGGTGCAAACCGTTCCAGCTGAACTAGTTGTTGTAGAAGTCGAGCCTCTGCCGAATAATTCATACTCGTTCTCGACGACTGGCGAGGTAGGATCAGAGCCAACGTCGTTGGACTTGGTCAAAGGGCTCTGTGGCACGGGTTCTTCCTCTCTAAGTGTTTTCAGACCAGAGTCCATGTGAAACGAGGTGTAATAGCCCTCGGTGTCGCACGAATACACGGACGACGTCTCACCGTCGTCCGAGAAAGGCACCACCGTGATATCTTGTATGATATCCGGGGTTAAGGTGCCCTCGGACGTCACCGAGGACGAGGCCGATGTGTCCCTTCCTTTGAGTCGCCTCATGTGACTCAAAGAAGTGGAAGACGTGCCGATCGAAGCAGTCGTCGTGGACCTAAAACTATTCATAATTAGTGGACAAACGCAACATTTTTATCAGCACATTTTCTCTCGATGCCTTCCGAATTAGAAAATCTAAAAAGTCTTATCTTCAAAAACTTAGTCCCAAGAATTAGAAAAGATTCTAAGATAATCGCAGTTCATTTCAAGATGATGGTTGGTCATCATGATCTATCCCAAAATAGCCGAAATTCGTTCAAAGTGGGCAATTTAAACGCGCGACGCCGCGCGAATTCAGGTACGAGAACGAAGGACCGTTCGGAGAACGCGGAGGGCTTTGCTCACCTGGGCTGATGCGTAGTGGTAGTAGTCTCACTGCCTATGCTGGCCCTTCCGCTCTCGGACGAGGCGCTCCAGTTCCCCGAGCTCGAGTGCGGCGCGTCGTCGCGGTTGCTGCCCTTCCGTCTCTCTCGCCTCTGGGCGGCACTCTCGCGCAATTTCACGCTCGGCTGTTTGTCCGTACTCGGCACCGACACCGGTATACTAGCCGTGCTCTTGCCACTCGAGCTAGACGAGCTGGGCTTCCTCTCGTGCGACTTGTCCCTTCTTCGTCTAGTCGTCACCGTCTCGTAGATGTTGATCTCTTCCGGCGACCTCGTCTGGCCTTGGGTCTGTTCGCTCCTCTCTGCGCTGGGTGCGGCAACCATCGATTCCTGTTGTTGTTGCGGCTGTTGCTGCTGCTGCTGACTCGATTTCGGGCTGATCAGCTTCAGTCGAGACATGCCCCACGCCTTCAACGTATTGAAGTGTGACTTCTTTTCCGTGGGCGAGTCCTTCTTCGTGGAACCCAGGATGTCCGTGCTCGCCGAGCGATGAGCTCTCGGCGTGGCACTCGGCATCGTCTCCTCGGGCTCGTCGCCGGTCGTCTCCCTGCGATGACGAATAACGTGAGCGATGGCGAACGCGACACCATATGACGAGGGTCGCGGTGAGAACGATTCGGTGCGTTCACACGGAGAAGGAGCATTTTTAGAAGCGAGAGAATTATGATACACTGTGAGCGCGCTATGATTAATTAAGCATAGTTGCGACACGCGGTTTTATTACGGATTTATTATCCATGTTTATTTCAATTGGTATGAGAGGACTCGGAGAGTCGCCAGGGCCTCTCTCTCTCTCTCTCTCTCTCTCTCTCTCTCTCTCTCTCTCTCTTTCTCATGGGAGGTCTCGCGCGATCGAGACCATGAGATATCGCGCGACAATGATACGGAGATGATCAGCTAGTATTATCGCGGCAATAGAAGTACAAAAGCAGCGCAGGAGATTCTTCGTGCTTGGACGACTGCGAAAATATGAGCGCGCTTTATCGAGCATGACAAATCGCCGACTCTTTTCGAGGCACAGATCCGCGGACCGCGTCCTTGCTGTAACAGAACTGCCACGATAAGGAGATCCGAGCAAAATGCATACTACTCGCTCACGCGAGTATATTTATTATGTCGTAAAAGCTGAAGGTTGCGAGAGCTCGGCGGATAGCGCATTAATCCTTTCAACGTTGAACGATAGCGCTTAGTAATCTTCTTGAAGACAACGCTGAAAAATTTGCCTCATTGTACGGGTCGTGAACGTGAAACAATCCTGGGAAACCATCCTTCCCGAAGGACGACATTTTAACCGTAATTCGAGATTCGCAGCGCAGAATTGCGACAAAAATTACGCTCGAAAAATCTGAGATATAATTAAGAAGGCCAATCCCAATGTATTTCCGGAGTTTTCGGTGTCCAAGAGTCGTAGGATTAAGGACTAAGACAAGTAGGAGGATACTAACCCTCCGATAGCTTGGCGAATTTCTTTCTGATCAGTACCAGCGATTGTGTTCCGTCTTTTTCCTCTAGGCCTGCGTGGTCGTGATCTTCTCTTCACCGTCGTTTCCTGGATTTCCGCCGGTCCCGACAGCAAGGACCTCCTCCTCATCGACATTCTTTCGAAACCTCGGCCGCTCACATCCACCGCCACGATTTCCGCCGGGAATCTGCGGTGAAGGCGCGCATTTCGGATTACAATGGGGATTGCTTGTTGGCATCGATACAAAACTACATGGCTTCGGGACGAGGATACGACAAGCCGGATAAGAGGAAGTCGTCTGACAGACTTCTGGCTTGTATACAAGCTTACGTATCTGTCTCGCATACATGTGTTATATGTATATTTACTTTATATATATATATATATATATATATATATTACATGTAACAGCTTTTATTCTCACTATTCCGAATTATTCATAGAAACGACGACCCGCAGCTCAATCTTTGAGCTTCAATCAATTTTAAAATCGGTAAATGGAGAAATTTCACATTTTTTACATACGTACGTCGCAAGTTAAATTTCAATGGATGAAATTGAAAGACCCGTTATCGTTACAATTGGAAATATCCTCTCGACGAGTATTAGCTTCAGTATGTTTGATGGATTCGACGCGCGGAAGAGTATAACGGTCGCGGCTGAGAAAAAATATTTTTTTTTTGACGATGCTACAGCTTCTCCGGCCGTGTCTACTCCGACCGGCGGTTTCTACTATTTCCGTCCTATCGGCGATCAAACGACGTATTGAGATAAACCGCTTACTTGAGCGCGATAGCCTGAACCTGTTCCTCGGGGCTGGGTAGCTTGTGATCGACGGCGTCGTCGCCGGTCGTGTCGCCCAGGATCCTGGACATGCAGTCCGGCGGTACGGTGACGTCGCCGAGCGCCTCGGCGGACGTCCATCTTCGCAGATCCTCGATAGCGGCCGGCTGCAACACACCGCAGCGTAATCACAGCGCAATAAAATCACCAGCCTTCGCGAGATATCTATTCTCGCGTGTATATCACGCCATTCCGCGCAATTATCCGTACTTATCGTATACCCGCCTATGTTGCACGCGAAAACGCACACGGTTGAAGGAGAGACTCCGCGTGAATACAAAATAGATTAGACGTTATTTCGTTATTCGTTATACGACTCCGGACTGCATTCAGCAATGTCCATACGCCATTTCCCAGTAATATGAAGTAGAAAGAAAAACAGGGACAACGCGTGCGCAGTCCCCGCGATCAAAAAATATGCGCAGCTACAAGAACCACATCCAACCGCCACGGAGGTGAACAAAAGACTCTGTTAGGTTTTTTAGCTTTTAGCAAAATAGATTTGCTCTCGGCGAGCGTTTGCTCGTCGTGTCGTCGAGCGGACCCGATCTCGGAGCATGTAACAAACGAGTCGCTTTCTTTCCGTCGCGGGATCCGGGAGTCCCGCAACGCGGTGTACGCGAAAGGGTGACGGGAAACTCGACGCCGCGACGAGAGGAAGAGGAAGAGGAGCGTGGTTTTACGCGCCGCGACGGCGCGTGGGTGTTAACTCCATTGTCGGGATGTCACCTCGCCGAGCGGACGGGTTTCACGCGCGGAATACGGAACGGATCGGGTTACCGTCTGCCGGCTTTTCCGCGCGATGCACTCGCCGCCGTCGCCCCGACCCGTGAAAACGACCGTGCCCCGTTTTGTTAAACGGTACGAGTGAAGTGGCGAAGAAGTGCGAGTTTATCGACACGCTCGATGTGCACGAAGAAGAGGGAGAAAACGACAACGGAGTCGTACCGAAACAGTTTCGAGGAAACGGGATTCGGCGTACGACATCGTCGGCTTCTCAATTGCACGGTGAAAGTTAATTACAGCGAAAGTTAATTAAGCGGGCAACGGGATCAAATTTGAGCTTGCCGTGCCATTTGAGACTTAATGTCACATCGTGAGTTCTGCCCTCCGTGACCGCCGACTGTGATTTGTTTTGTTGCGCTCGGTCGATACCGATACCGATACCGCCGCGCCGCCGAAGTTGACCTGTTGCTCGATATTCCGTTTCTTCCGCGTTTCACGAAGTCCACGAGAGAAGTAGAGTCGTGCGGCCAGAGATGAACCGATTCTCTCGGTCTCGGTTATGTTGCTCGTTGAGAAAATACCGATACGTATGAATGCGCCGACTGTGTGCACTTTCTCCTCTAACAAAAAGACTCATCTTACGCGCGCGCGCGCGCGCGCGAGCGGCAAGAAGGGATTAGGTAATCGTGTCGTGGACTCGTTATACAAATCCTAGCGTAACATTTTAACTCTCACTTATTCCTATAAAATGATACACTCATAAATGTGCAGGGATTTGAGTGTCGTTGAATTTTACATCATTTATTTCACATCATTTATTCTGTACGTTCGCGCAGGAAACAAATTTTTAATATTCAAATATTTTTGAATGTTTGTATGTTTATATTGAGTTTATTATACGTTACGTACAAGACAATGTTGCTGAGGTTAACATCGAAGAGGAATACCTAACGTATTCTAAAACAAATTTGAATAAGAAAAGAAAAATACGGATAAGTACGACTGGAATGCCGTGACATGTTCACATAGTGTGAGAGAGAGAGAGAGAGAGGAATGTACTTACAACTCTGGACTCGATGTCGAGGCTCTGATCCCGCCTTCTCTTACCGAGGACGGGTGTGCAGAGGAACATATCCATCGAGCTGCCATCCCTCCTCAAGGAATCCAAACTTCGAACGGCGACTATAGCAGCGAGCTCGTATAGCTCCTTCAGCGCCTTTGGCCTCGTACCCGGCGTGAATAGTCCCGTCGATGGTTTATTCGTGACGTGAAAATGCTCCGTCCTCGTCGCGAAAGTGCAGATATCCGATTCCGCTGTAACAGGAAGGAATATCATCCTTAACGATCGCGTGTCACGCCCGAGAAAGATTGCGGCCCGAGATTGTACACTTACGTTAGACCGTTAAACGGACTCGCGTGTTTATGCAATTTTCATCGCTTGTCATAAGACACCGCGTGTACGATGAACATATTGTGAAGTGTCTTGAGGTCGATTAGCAAAACTACCTCTTGACAGAACGCAAATATATAGAGTGGAATTATACAAATATTGAAATCATAATTAAATACACCTTTCCAATCTCAAGGCCGGACGTATGAAATTTCAATACGTCTACAATAACGGGGAATGCATTTGAGACCTTAATCGATCGTCGACTGAGGGAAATTTTCCGCAAAATTCTTCGCATCTCGAGTTCAAGACAGTTTTTGGCCTCGTTCGTGCATGAAATGTCCTCAAGCGTGTGCGCGGCATATTTTCATAAAAATTAATCGAGTAATCGTGACGTGTGAAGAAAGGTCGAGTAACCAGACACGAGAAAGGAAGAATGTCTCGCGTCTCATATCAAATTTAAGAGGTGCTCACGACTGCATCCCTTTTTTCTCGCAGCCGTCCCATAATGCGGCATTTCACCTCCTTAATATACTTTTTGTCGGTCGTGTGTGCGGCCGGTATCACGCCGCTGACATATCTTAACTGTAAACATGTTCCATTCACGGTTTCTTGCACCGTGGCCGGTGCAGGCATGAAAAAAAGGCCCAACTCATGCCACCCGCGCTCTCGACGGGCATGCTTGATTCGCCGTTTCCGGCTGTTTTCAGAAACGGTTTCTTCCGTGATGGAGCGGGGCCTTAATTTCTGACAACGAGCCCCTTCCTAGTGTTTTCAATTAGACATGCCAGGGACACTGATCTCGCTGAATGCGCGTTAATTACAAAACAACGATGTATTTGTAAGAGCAAGTTAAAGAGCGTACTTGTCGAGTTATGTACCGTGTGTGCAATTAAAATCTCTAGGGGACCTTTTTTCTATCCTGAAATGATGATTACACGTGAAGTGTTTGTAGGACTGTACTGCATTATTAATCAACGGCGCGATTGTTATGTATATCTGCCTATTTTATTAATTACTTCTTTCTCGACGAAGTAATGTTTGAGATTTGAATATACCGATATATGATACTTTGATCGAAAGCCGTGCCTATGACGTGATGTAAAATTATGCGAATTCACCATGACCTGATACACACACACACACACACACACACACACACACACACATACAGGTACAAGCGTGCGAAACACGTGAGTCGGATGATGGATGAGTCATAATGTCTGACTGGCGATAGCCAGTCGCGATTGTCGATCACGAGACAATGAAATCCCGTAAACACCTTTTGTCGCCCGCCGACAATTAGTTTCGTTATCTGGGGCGCCATAATTGCTGATTTCTTTTTTTTTGGCCCGGCTTTTCGGCCGGTAACGCACGCGCTTCGACAATGCAGCGTGTTTTTCTCGTGGGCGCAGCGCAGCGCGGTTCCATTATCGCGTGCTCCTTGTGTTTTATCCCGTCGTTCCTGTTTTGTTTCGCACAATACCGCGGAAGGGTTAATCACCATTGGTCCGACACGCGATAGGGTCGTATCCCCCTTTAGAATTCCGTCGCGATCCTCCCGCGAGTGAGTTCGCTGCATCCAATAGCGCTTGTGCTCGAATCGCACGCTCGATTTGCGCTCGGATGCTACGATAGAAGTGCTATTCTTCGGACTGCGATTCCCTTTGTGAAGCTTCGTCTTTTCGATTTCTGTACAATAACACGCTTGCGGATTGTGCGATGTTGAACATTTTCATACGTTCGAATTGCGAGGAGCATTTCATTATTTGCACACACACACACACATCGCCGATAGGCGAGGCAAAATTAAGAGATCCAAAACTCGGGATTTTGCAAAAGTCCCATTTGCAGAAACAAAAGGGCGTATCGCAAATTTCACAATTCGAATTTGCGATGTACATGATGTAGTGGTGTAGGTAGGTGGTGAGGAGACGTATCCGAGAACTCCGTGAAAAATTCCGGACGCTAGTAGCGAGCGCTATTCCCTGTTATCAATCCCTCGGCGTCTACGCTCCAAATGGCTTCTGGAATACTTCGGCATTAAGAGTTACGCTAACGGTTCATTACGAGCAAGGTAGTAATATCGCACGACCGCTCCGGGCATTTATGCCATAGTGTATAAACAGAGTGATGCGTGTACGTGCGGCCCGCGAGCGAGAGAGCCGCGCGCGCGCGGTGTGTTCCGAGCTGCAGTCCGATTCGATACAATCGTCCGTGGAGTATTTCTTACTAACCGTCTGTAACCTCGGAAGCTGGTGCACATAACTACACCGGGTACAACCTTCTGCGGCCGAGCGGGCCGAATCGACCTTCCTCCCCGTGATGTTCTGCAATCTCATCGCGCGCGAATAATCGAGAACCGCTCGGAGGAGCCGCTGCAACGCGGAGCGCGCGCGCGCGCGCTTCAGCGTTCGGTTTCCCCGCAAAAAGAACAGGAAGAGGGAAATATTCCCGCGCAAACGCTGATTTCTCTCTCTTGTCTTGTCTATTAGGCAGTTACCTCTACGATTGTTCGATACGATTGGTCGTTTCGATCGTTTGTCGGACGAAGATCGTCTCGACGAGATTCCGAGATGCGCGCTCTCTCTCTCTCTCTCTCTCGCACAAGCCGAAACGTCTCTGTACATTCGGAGAGATTGACTCTACGTGGAAACTATTATTTCTTGTTTGCAGGAATCCGCCGAGATGCAGAGCCGACGGCGAGTCCTCGACTACACCTCGTCGCCAGCGACCGCCGACTGTCAACAATTGTCGGACCGTTGGAAAGCAGCAATACGTCGATGCTGTCGGTTCTGTAAGTCTGTGCGATTCTTACTTTCTCCGAGCGTGTCGAGCTTCGAATTTCGAAACTCGCACAACGATAACCATATTATTAAGAGCCTACGATGATCGATAGTTATCTTTCATTACTCGGCGCTTTCTCGGCTCCACTCGGTCGAGAGAGAGAGACCTGACCTTTGCATTCGCTCGCATTTCACTCATTGCGCTTGAAAATGCCGAGCGTCGGGCGTCTCGATAACGTAACAATGGATCGGGACTGGTATTCTCGAGCCGTCGATGGGGCGGATGAATGATCGAAAATCGCGGTCTCGAAGATGAAAAATAGCGTAGCCTCGGAGATCGCTCGGCTCGGATCCGGCCGCGGCGGGGAATGCACTTGGCGCGCTGCGTTTCGGTGCGCGGAGCCCGAGCTCTCGTCTCGGTAAATGCGCGGCGAGCGGCATTAAGCGCGTCACGGCTGTTAGTAAAAGAGGGCCGGACTCCGGCATTTTTTACAGACGCCAGAAGAGAGCGAGTTACGAGTCAAGGCCGGCTGCACAGGTTGCTCGGTCATGAGAATAGAAATATGAGCGGGCTGCTACGGGTAAGCAGGCATGGCCGTTCGTAATAGTCGCACACCTGAGTAAGCACGCCCCGCGCGTCCCGATCTCGCAATAATAGGCTTCGAGCTAGTCGCAATCGTTTCTCACAAATCAGCACGATCCACCGGCATAACCGGCCGGCATGGGCTAATTGCAATAGTAACTTGGCAGCGACGTATGGGTTCGTCGGGGAATAATGATAGAACCGTGGCGGCTTCGAATCAGCGCTTAACGGGGAGCACGCGGATCGGATCCCGTCCGTAGGAAACGAAATTATCCGCTGTTCTTCTCGAATTTCTTTTTTTGCATGTGAGACATTCCAGAAAGCGCGTACATCGTACCGAGATACGGCATGTCTTCCACTTTAGTCTCTCTCTCTCTCCCTCTCTTTCTCTCTTTCCCTGTGGATACGTTTTTTTCCAATTTGAAGGGAATTTCTCCCTTTCAAGAGAGACGTACGGCGGTGTGGGCAATTTAAAGGCTCGGAGGGTACCGTGGAAAATCGATTCCGACTTGGAATTTGAGGAATTCGTGAAGGTGTAAATTACGACTCGCTAGATCTTTGGTATCTTTGGTCTATCCTGATATATCTGGGAATTTCGAAGACAAGAGGGATTCGATTTCCCCTCATCTTGGGCTTCTCCTTGCCGCATCTCGCTCATCTTGTTCCTTCCTCATTAACATCCAACTGAAACTCGCGTGTGACCTCACCAACCTCATCTCCGCGGAAATCATGTTGAAGTTTCGCAACATCCGGCGAATCTTTCTTCCCTCCCTCTTTTCTCTTGCCCTCTCTCTCTCTCTCTCTCTCTCTCTCTCGACTCGCTCAGCTCTCGACTTCGCCGGCGAAAGCGTGGAATCGTCGTCGATCGAGTGGCACGAAGCGAAGCGGTTCGACGAATCGAGAGACCTGCACGAGACGGGCTGAAGCTGAAGGACGGACAGAGAGGAAGAAGAACAAGGTAGGTAAGAAAACGACGACGACGACGACGACGACGACGACGACGACGACGACGACGACGACACAACAACGACGACGACGACGACGACGACGACGACGACGACGACGACGACGACGACGACGACGATGGTGAAGAAGAGGAAGAAGACTAGAAGGTAGATGAGAAGAAGAAAGAGGAGAAGGAGGAAAAGAAGGAAGAGGAGGAGGAGGAGGAGGAGCACGCAGATTCTCGATGGTGAAGAGCCGGTCGTCCCGTGGGAGGTCCGCTGTAGCCGATGAGCCTCGGCTGTGCAAAGTGCCCCGAAGGGCCGCTCGCGCGGCCCTTCAGAGGGACCGACAGACAGCTCACCGGTTGCGAGCCTCCTTCGCTGGGGCTCAAACCAAGATATCAAGAAAGCGCGTAATTCATGGTTGCCTCTCTCGAGCGCGAGCAAACCGGGCTTGGATTATCCCCGCCGTGGTGCGCCTAGGTCGGATTAGTCCCAGAACGGGAGAGACTTCCTGGACCTTCCGCGCGCGAAACGCGCCTCCGCAGGCGGAAGTCGCGTCAGCCGCGACGTAGGCACCGCGTGATTCGTTTGTTTGGAAAACAAGGCAG